GTGATCGACTAGCCCACCGGGCCTAAGCCCATGCCATGACAGGATTTTTAAGCGTCCACTTAAGGGCCCCTGGTTACGCTAAGTGGTCTGGAGCGCCACACCAACTCCGCATGTAAATTATGTGGTGGCCGGGGTTCGAAGTCGGGTGGCGGGCACCTCAGCCGAGGTTCCTTTACCACCAGGCTACGAAGCCCGGTTATCTATGATTACTGCTTTAAGAAATGAAGATCAATAAACTATATTGACCGTATAATTTTTTGGATATTTTAAGAAAATTTCAATTTAACAGCAAAAATAAGGAAGAAGTTTTACTTCAGCCATATATGATATTAATTATGTTATCTTATAAATTTACTCTTTGAATTAATGGATTTGGTAATTTCATTGGTGATAACAATAGAACTAATAAGAGAGCGTGGAACATGGAGTGAAGGAATTAGGTGTTCCTGAGCTGTTTTGTACACTAAGATAGGTCACGTGGCGATGACACATAGGCCATGTTAATCTGGGACCCTGACTATTCGAGCACACCGTCATGATTACCGTCCTTGGGAGTAGATGGTGACCGTCCAATGAGATCAGTTTAACCTCGTGCGATACAGTTATTATAGCCTAATTGGAATCTTAAGACACACGTGAAAGACGGATAATAATGTGTATGAATAACAAACATATGAGGTATTTAATCTGGAACATGTGGAACCTTTTAGGGCGTATTTGGCTCTATACTCTTAACATTCTACACAATATCTTTGTTTTTGTTTTTAACTACTAGTAAGTGTCAAGAAATATGTTGTATGAAATGTGGTCACTTTCCTTTTTATTTGATTTTAAGAATAAAGTCTATTGGTCAGTGGATGGTCAACTTATTATGTACTTGAGTTTTAATGCCACCGTACAAATATGATACTAATAATATATCGTGATAACAAAAGTATATAGCCTTTTATAGTTTTTGAACTTTTTAAAAGAATACCTGAGTTTGATAATTGTTTATAAAGGTAATTCTTCTAACACGATAGTTAGAAAAAGAATGACACAGATATCTCCATGCATAACGCTTCTGACTTTAAAAAGATGAAAATATTACAGTAGAAGAAAAGTTTTACATTCAGTTATGCTATGATGTATAGCATACTAGTTGTGCTGATTCGTTGTACTTGTAAAATAATATGCTACGTATTGACGTAATGCTATATATATATGTTGTAATAAGTAGTGGTCTAGTACTTAGGATCACTCATTAATTTTATTTGAGATGCATGATTTACGATTAAATGTCCAGAATTTTTTATCATTGATTATATTTTTGATCAAAAATATTGCAGAACCGTTATCCCCTGATAACTTGCTTTAAACTATAATAAAAAGAAATTGGTAAAGAACCCACTTTCAGTCATTTTAGTATGAACAGAGTGCAGTCGGCTTTTGAAACAATAGAAGAAAACTATTTACTTTTAAACTCAGGCATTCAAACGAGAAAAGATTTGAGCATAGTTGAAATCGTTGTGGACGTTAAGACTTAAATATCCAATACCTAACTAATGACCAAAAATTCAATCTGACTCGAGTTATCAAATAAGAAAATTCTCGACAACTGACAGACAACAAATCTAATATATTACACAATTAGAAGTTGAAAGTTGACGTGGTATCAAATAATACACATAGTCAAAATATTTCCAAAAGCAGAAGAGCCGTATGTTGCATGTCGAATATGATTTACGCAACTTGTTCATGAGGCTTAATTAACGCGTTGAACTGTTTATGCATTAAAACACCTCTACGAAAAAGTTTATTGTAACTATAAATGTTAATTAGATGAAATATGGTGTGAACCGGTAGGAAATTTAGTAGTTTAATTATAAAACTGTTACACAAATTAGTGATTTTTTTACTTCACCTAAAGATATCTAAGATTTACAGAAGCGAAGACTCATCCTGCAATAAGAAGTGTAATCCTCGAATATACGTTTTCTCTACATATTTTATTGAGGTTTAAATTATGATTTCACATTTGTGTGGCCACATATGTTTAGTATTGTCGAGTTGTTTCAAATCCAGATTGTTAGCTCCCCATAATATATGCTTACCAGTATACCATACATATATTATTAAACTAGTGATCTTTAGTAATTTAGAAAGTGATAAGAACATGGTAAAAGTAAATAACCAATTAGTCAATTACCTAAATCCGAACGTTTATAAAATTATATTTATCTATTAGCCTAGACGATACCTGTACCTAGCTACATTGTAATTTAGACAATATCGTCACAAGCCTCAACAAGAAAATATTTTTTTCTTATGCAAAGCTCAAAGCTAAAAACGTTTAACGCATCTCCAAAGATAAGCAAAACACACATATCCATAATTTGACAACTGATTGTCGACTACTATATATGTGATGAGTTATTATTTACTGTGTATGCATGTAGTTAAGAGTTATTTAAATTTTGTATATATTTTGGCACTAAGGTCCTGTGGTGGCTCACTGGATAGTACCTATACTGAGGCGGCTTGATGCACCTGGACATTGGTGTTGTTATTGAATGGAGACAAATGGAAGGATGTAGTTAAATTCCCTTTGTTCAACCGATTTATAACTTGACATATCACTTGTACAACGTCTGATGTGGAACTATTTTGCATTAGTCTAACGACGAATATGAACATCAAATTAAAATTTGAATATTACAATATATTTCAATTTAAGGATAAATTTTTTAAGTCATTACGTATTGTGGCGGAACTACAAAGATGTTATTGCAAATATGCTATAAAATATATGATTTCAAATTTGGTGTTCAAAACTT